TAGAAGATCAATGTACCAGTAGCTCGGAAGAATATGGCCACTGAATCGTGATTTCATATGCAACTTAAGCCTAAAACGTCTCCGAGAGCCAGGGCTAATACCTAAAGTGGTCACGTGGGTCGTCTGCTTTTGTAAGTAAAAAGCTCGGTCGACGACGCAACGGCTAGCAAGACTAGGCAATTTGTAAGCTGAGAGTTATACCTACTATAACTATGTGGACCCGTCTATTTATTCAAAAGCAGTGTTTTCGACCGATGGTCTATTATTTAAGTTTTTGCAAGAGCTAAAGTTGAAATGTACAACTATAATAGCTATATAGACTACTCTATTTTCTACGAAAAACATGTGTCCGACGGTCAGCTCCATAAGTTAAAAAAATTTCACAAATGCTTTGAGAGGGCCAAGGCTCGTGAAGTCGCTAAAGTCGAGATTCACGACTATAACAACTATGCGGACTTCTATGCTTTCTACGAAAGACATGTGTCTGGCTGCCAGCTTTATAAGAAAAATTTCGCAACATGCTACGAAAGGCACGTGTCTGGCTGCCAGCTTTATAAGAAAAATTTCGCAACATGCCCCAGAAGGGCCAAGGCTCGTGAAATCGCTAAAGCCGAGATTCACGATTATAATAGCTATGCGGACTCCTTTGCTTTCTACGAAAAGCATGTGTCTGGCCGCCGACTTTATAAGTTAGAAATTTTGCCTATTTCCTTGTGCAGGTAAAGCTCATTGAGCATCAAAGCCAAGACTAAAGCCTAAAGTGACGACATGGGATTGGCTGCTTCATCAAAATAGCCAACCTAGTAGCCTGTTCTACGACAAAGTTTTGCAAGTCGCCTTGAGCAGGCAAGGCACCGGAAGCCCCGAAGCCAAAACTAAAACCTAAGTGACGACATGGGATTGACTGCTTTGTCAAAACAGCTCGACCAGTCGCCCATCCAAGGAAAAAGTTTTGTAAAAGACATGGTGAAATAGCAAAGATAAAGGAAAGTAGGGAAAACTGTTTATTAAATTTCTAGCAAATTGATAAACTGGCTTGAAGGTCGACAAAGTTCAAACAAAGCAAACAAAAAGGAAAAGAACAAAATTCCTAAGTCTAATTAAAAAGACTACTCATCAGCAGCCTGCACAACCACTAGTTCCTCGACTGCCACGCGTTTAGCAGCCATACCACTCTCAGCAGCTGAAGCTTCCATCAGCTCAACCTCAGCTGCCCTTGCTTGGACAGACTGACCCTCGGTTGCTCTACCAAAGGCAACCTCAAACGAGAAGTCAAGCAGATCAACTAGAGAAATGAAGTAAGTCTCATAGTCATTCTTGAAAAACTCATAATCTGACAGCCTACCCTGGAGATGGACTACATAACCAAGGTTGTAGAAATCAGCTTAACAGAAAGCAAGCGACACTTCGTGATCGGCCCTTTCATTCTCTAATTGCGCATTCCCTTCAACAAGCCCAATGTGAGCATCCTGCAGTTTCTCCAGTTCTTTTTTCAGGTTCTCGATAGGAGACAACGTACCTTGCAAATCCATTTTCTTAGAATTAAACTTACTGGAAACATCCTTGAGATGAGACACTTCACCATCTATGAAGACAAGCTCCTCGTCCTTGGAAAAACAAGTAGATAGTAGCTCCGAATTGACATGCTCAAGGTCATTGACCATTGGTAAAACATGATTGACTTCCTTCTTTGTAGCTTCCAACATCGCCTGAGTTACATTAAGCTTATCTTTCAATTCAACGACCTTTTGATGAACGGTCTCCAGCTACACAGAAGTGGAGGCAGAGGCATTGAATGATATTTTCAGCAGCCAAGCGAAGTTGAGCTATCAATGCCACTTCGACTTGCTTATCACACTTAATAATATCCTAATCAAAGCACATAGACTCAGCTACCAGGATCAAAGACTTTTGCATTGTAGCATGCAAAGAGGAGCCTTTCGAGTAGGCAGGACACTTCACAAAAAAGTCTGAGCGGATAACTTTCCCAACGCTATCTACAAACTTGGCACATGCATCGACGTCCTCAAGCAGGTCAGCCTTTAGTAACCTTGGGAACTTCCTCAGAACCAGACTCGGTGGATATCTCACAACTACCTATGCAAGCAGACTTTATTTTCTCAGCGAACGAATCAATCGCAGCAGAAGGAGGAACGGGCCCAGGTGCCATCTTAGCAACATAATCCACCTTTTCACTTTTTATAATGGTGAGCTTCTTAGAAGCCGAACCGGACTTAGCTCTTGATGCGTGCTTCGATATAAACCCAGTCAATTGGGCCACCACCGAACATTTCGCTGGATAATCCTTTCAGCAATGGTCGTGGCCACCTTTGGACCAGTAGGTTTCACAAGCTTAGACTCAATAATCTTTTTCTTCCACATGAAAGAAGTCAAATCAATGACAAGCTTTTCAGCAACATATGCCAGGCCCCATGACCTGGTCCCATTTTCTCTCCAACTGACGCTTGACTCACATGGGCATGACCCACATCTCTCTTTTTAATGGCACATGCCCATGCCCAGCCTGACAAGTACAACGCCTCGTGCCCAAGCTGTGGCCCTAGCCATGCAATTTCTGGCCTAGGAAGCCCAGACCGTAGCCCAAGTCACAAGAAAGAGAGATGACACCCCGTTCCTTTCTCTCTCTCTCTCTCCCTCCACGGTATAGCAGGCTCAAGTCTGCCTTTGGCCCTACCAAGCCCAAATATAGAAGGGCTAGAGCCTCGCGGCTTGCCCAGCTTTGCGCCCAGTACGTTTTTCACCTTGCTCACTAATGATCATCTTTGCTCGAGCCGTCAAGCAACATATGGTGAGACCTCAGCTACTTCACAACATCCAGTATACCTGACGGGCCTATGTCAGATTCAGCCCCCAGAAAGAGCTCAAGCATTGTGGTTCTCTCCGTACTATGCCCTAACACCTCAAGCAGTGGCTTCAGCTGCGTAACCGTCTTTGGCCCTAACTGATCGAAGTAGCCCAAGTCGTGGCCCATTCCACGCTATCTCATCGGCCCATATCGAGTCAACTTCTGGCCCCTGCCAGCCGACGTACTGCACCACCCTCAACAACTGCCCCGCGGTAACACCACCTGAGACGAAGAAGAAAAAATTCAATTTCTTCTTAATTTGGTGCAGCACGAAGAAGAAGAGTAACAACAAGAAATTACTCTTTGTAAGGGTAAGAGAAGAAGAGAGCTAGGGCAAGGGGAACAATTTTTTTGTGGTTTCTCAATACCTTGTTGGGATGAAGATTGTTCTCCAAATTTATTTAATCCTCTGCTTAAGGTTGAATTAAATAGGTGTTGTGGCAATTGGTTTCCTCCAAGTTACATGAAATTGGGAAACAACTCTACACACCCATGCAGCTTGGGACTTATACACCTACCGTCTTTTTTCTAATGTAGCCCACCAGGTGTGGTGGCATTTGTGGAGCTTAAAAGAATCCCAAAAATTCTAGAGGGGAAACGTGGACTTTTGCTCGAGAAAGACAAGATTGCCCTTATTAAATGGGCAAGTTTCTCATAAAATCCTATGTGCAGCTCAACACCCCTGAAGGTCCAAGCAACTAAATATGACTGCCCACAACTCACCTGCCCATGACAAGGAAAAGTCAAAGCATTTAAGGATTAATTACCCAAATCCTATCTTTAATACATTCCCAATTGAAGATTGACCTCTATTCAAGTAAGTAATCCCTATTTAAACCAATTAGAGATATTTACACCATTATCTCAAGATATTATTTTCTATTTAATATCTGGAGAATATTCTCTCTATAAACCTTGGCCAATAGGATGCCGCCATGTGTAGGGTAAAATCGTAACACCATGACCAGTTACTTGTGGCTGGTATTTTCGAATGGGCATGACTCATTTGAAGAGATATATCAATCTCTATAAAGTTGTATTTATTCTGCGAAGTTGGAGATATCATCAATTCATTGTTTATCTCTTCGTCTACAATTCTAGCAAATCCGCTCCATTTATACATTATTTTTATATACAAAAATCTACAAACCAAAGTACTGCAGATTTGGTTTTTAGAGTCCCTGAGTTTCTTGTAAACCTTCTTTCGGTGTTCGGTTAATTTTCGTAAGTGCAAGACGCTGATGAACAATAACAAGTCGCTAGGCTTCGTTTATCCTAGAAGCTTGTTGGCATATTCCTCTTTGCACACTTGTAATGAGGGCAAATAAAGTTTTAAAAAGCATAAATAATTATGTAACTTGAAGCAAAATTCCTTCTAGCCATAACCCACAAACATTATGTTTTCAACATTTTCAGTTATCCAACTTCAGCCAATATGGCATTATGATAAATATTATTTTACCAATTGCTCATATTAATTATTACACCAAAGTACACCTCATTCTTTTTAGTTAACATTTTACTGTATTCAATTACTTAAAGAAGCAAATTTGATTCTCAATAACAAAAAGAAAATAATGAGACACCGGATTCAAATTAAACCCAAAAATCCCCTAATATTAGGATGAAATTGCTTTCGTTTCATTATTTTTGACCAAATCTAAGGAATATCATAAACAGCATTGAATGTTGAGATTCTGTTCCTTACCATTTATTAGGGCATTTCCACTAGAAGATGCAAAATACTTTTAAATGTGTATTTGTATTTTTGGTTGGCCTTAAAATTCTACAATGGAGAGATGCAAAATATACATATGGTCAAAAAATATAAATAAAAACTTATATATACATATTTTGTTACATTTTTTTTGGGTGTGTCCCGCAAATTAAAAAAGAAAATTAAATTGGATTTCAAATTTACTTCTCTCCCAATAGAGTAGAAAACCCCATTTACATTCTCAAATTTACATCTCTCCACTGGAGATGTTGTTATGCCTTTTTAACACCTATTAATTAAGAAATTTTAGCCCTATGATCTCTCTAGCTATAAATATGCACAATTTCCATGTCCCACATGTATTCACATGCTCAATTAATCTCGAAAACATCTGAGCCTTACAAAGTGATAGAAACAATGGGGATTATCAAGCTTTTCGTACGCATAAGCTCCATAGTACTAATCTTAAGTACTACCTATGTCTCTCAAGCCAGGCCGGCCAAAGAACCCCACCAAGACTTCATAGACGAGCACAACAAAGCTAGGGCAGAGGTTGGTGTTGGTCCGATCAAATGGAATGAAACCGTTGCGGCCTACGCCCAAAAGTACGCTGAATCAAAGATTGAGACGTGTGAAATGGTGCATTCGCAAGGGCCTTACGGTGAGAACTTGGCTGAAGGCTGGGGATCAGAAATGACAAGCGGACAAGCTGTGAAATTTTGGGTGACTGAGAAGCCCGACTATGATTACGACTCTAACTCATGCACTGCTGGGAAGGTGTGTGGGCATTATACCCAAGTGGTTTGGCGCAATTCAACTCGTGTTGGATGTGCTAGGGCTAAATGTAAGAATGGTATGATTTTTGTTATTTGTAGCTATGATCCTCCTGGAAACTGGATTGGGGAGCGTCCTTACTAGATTGTTCATAAGAAAGGTCATGAATAAAGAAAAAAAATATGAAAGGGAATATGGTGTGTTTTCATAAAAAGATTAATTTATAGATGTTCTTATGATCTTATGAAATCTGACTCATTGGCTAGCTTTGAATTGATAGGTAGGTATTTACTCTAATAAGGGTCATTTATCTGCTGGTGGCTTTGTCACAGCAATCCTCTCTCCTACCCATCATTATGTGATTTACCAACGTCAGAAATCGAACTTAAGATGGATCCCTTAGAATACAAACGTGGAATTTTTCCTTAGCCACTGGGCCACCTCTAGGGGCATTTCACATCCAATATCGCTTGGGCAAAAAAAAAAAAAAAAAAAAAAAATCTCTAATAAGGGTATAGAGATTGTGGAATAGAAAATCACGCCTTGACTGGTTGAGACACATACTATATGATAAATTTGATGAAATGTGACCAGCACGTAAATTGTTAGATGAAATGTGTAGATATTTGTAAATGAGGGATAAATTAGTTAATTAAATAGTTCAAGGTTCCAAAATTAAAAAAATTAGTTTAGAAGACAATTTGACAGTGATTTAAGTTCATAGAGTAATTACGGAAATTTGTGTAATTTACCCACTAATATTCATAAGAATTGGAGAAATTTTTGTTGTTGTTGTCTTGTAAATTATAGAACGCGCAAATTATTCAACACATCCACTATTACTGTTAACTTAATTCATCTTTGTTGGCGTTATAATTCTCCCCGCGATCGTGGTAGACTTGGTTTCAGTTTAAGGCGGCATTCAAGGGGCCTCGTGCAGTCCTTGAGGCTATCTTAAATTAGTGTGGTGTTTCAGGTGTGCCAATGTTGACCGTACCAACATACTTGATTAATTGATTTGTTTGTTTTAAGTAACTTGCTTGCGGTGATTTGACTTCGTTACCAAAGAGATTGTGCCATAGAGATATTAGACCTATGTTAAGCTCTTTTTCATGCCTTAGTGACAAACAAGTCCTTGATCATTTTTACATAATCAATTCAATAGTTTTCGATAATTTTTTGCAAAATCAATTTAACTTGTCATTGACTATTTTTGCACAATCAGTTCAACCGTCTTCAACCAATTTTGCAAAATCACTTCAACCCGTCATCGACCATTTTTGCAGAACTAGTTCAGTCGGTCTTTGACCATTTCCTCAATCATTTTGCAGAATCAATTCAACCCATCGTGGACCATTTTTGAATAATTAGTTCAAACTGTCTTTGACCATTTTTGCAGAATCAATTATCGACCATTTTTGTAGAATTAATTCAACATTTCATCGACCATTTTTGCAGAATTAGTTCAACCCCGTCTTCGACCATTTTTGTAGAATCAGTTCAATCAGTCCTTGACCATTTTTGCAGAATCAGTTTAACTCGTTTTCGACCATTTTGGCAGAATCAGTTTCAAATACATGTAAAATCAGTTTTGTATACTTTTTTAGTAGAATTTTTAATAGAATCAATTTATAACAATATAGTACCGACATGATTTGGGGAGGGAACAATGTCAAGGGGAAGGTTCCTTGCTTCTCGTTGTGATTCTATCAAACATATGGTACATTGAGTCTTTTTTCTTGAAAGTAACGATAAACTCACGTGAATGGTGCCATTTTACCCATTATAAGAGCAAGTGCTTAAATATTTTATTTTTCTACCAAGGGCTAGTTTGGTATTGTTGTGTTAAAAAAAAAAAAAATTTGCTATGCTGTGAGAATAAACAGCTGTAAAATAAAATTATTGAGCGTTTGGTAAACTTTTATATAAATTACTTTGAATATGTTAAATGACTAAAAAAGATATGATATTTAATGTGACATAATAATTGTCAAAGACAATAATGTAGGGGTAAAAGTTGTAATTTTGTAAAGCATGTGAGGGTATACTTGCCATTTGAAAATTTCATTAAATGAGCATTGATTACTATGTTTTGAAAAAAAAAAACGCACTTTTTTTTAGAAGCACGGTAGACCTTGCTTCTACTTTTCTACTTTCATTGACAATAATTTAATTTTTTTTTTATTTTTACCAAACACATTTAATGTTCTAGATTTTTTAATAAGCTACTTTTTTTTTTTTTTTTTAAAGCACCAAAATTCCATACCAACCCTAGGGCTCTTTAACCACTTAAGGTGCTTTAGAAAAAGGAAAATGACTTCAACTTGTATATGCATATATTATTCATTCCACATAAAGGATAACAATTTCTCTATACGGAATGAAGATGTGAAGAACCTATACATCAAATTCAAAATTCAATCAATTCAACCTTAAAAAAAGAAAAAAGAAAAGAAAAAGATCTTGAAGATGGAGAACTATCTCCAAGAACACCACAACACTTTAGAAGTAAGGGTAAAAATGTCAAGAACACCACAACACTTTAGAAGTAAGGGTAAAAATGTCCCAAAAAACTATATGCTTGCGTATCATTTGGTCAAGTCAAAACCAAATAAAATATGGAATGTTTCTTCAAGTACTTCCTACTTCCTTGTAATCCCTCTCATTTGGAGCACACTCTCAAGCTATAAACAACAACGCAAGCACATCTTTGTTGTCCTCATCATTAACTACCATAACGAGAATTTTATCATTAAACCCCCAAAATGTATGCAGTTTGACAAAAGTGCAGAGTAAATTCTTAATCTACAAATTATTGGTCGTTTCCTAAGTTTTCTTTAATATATCTTAGCTATGAAAGATTTTATGTTATAAACTGGGAGGCAATAGTGCCGACATAAATTCTTGCTCACCCAAGAGATTCAAGAAATAATAACTAAAAAATAAAAATAAAATAAGTTAATCTGGGTCTTTGTATTTCAAATTTGGGATGAGGCTTTTATTGCTAAACAATCAAAACAAACTGAACCGATGTCTTTTAAGAAAAACAGACACAGAGAGAGAGAGAGAGAGATAGCGTTAAGCAGAGAGAGAAGAATTATGGCACTAAGAATGTGCGAGTCTTTCCACGTTAGGCATATTTGCTTGAAACAAGAAAACCAATTACTGAATCTGTTTTTCGAATGACAGTTTGTTTATTTGCATTAGTATTTTAGGGGGAAAAAAGAAAAGGTCATTAGATTTAAGGGTATTTTCGTAACTTAAATTCTAATAAAAGAGAATGATGTCATATTCCATTCCACATGTATTAAACAAATGTGTCAAGGAGGAGTGTGGTCACTATGTTACTATGATCTGGGGCAAAGCCACCAAGGTCGGATGTGGTGTTTCAAGGTGCTAACAATGGACAAAACTATGTCGTTTGCAGCTACGATCCCATGTACCAGCTGGAGGATAAGCGTCCCTACTAGACACTACGCGTCCCTACTAGACACTACACACACACACACACACACCTACACTTGGCCCCGTTAATTGGGGAGTGCTGTGTTTTTTTTTCTCCCCTATATTTTTTTGGGAAATTAGAAAAATAAAAAGGGAATGAGGTGAGAGACGATTGAAATGTAAGGGTGTATGAAAATTACATTCTAACTCTTACAACATCGTTTTACAGAACTCGCACGTGATCATTTATAGCTAATGATAAAATAATTAATAAAAATGAAAAAAAACAAACAAAGTACTAACTTTTTGTTATCTAAACTGATATGTTATATCATACTACACATTTTTCTTCATCCATCTCTCTTTCATCTCTGTTTCATCTCTGTTTCATCTCCGTCACTTGTTTCACTGTAGTTAACAGAAATAAGGATATAAGAAACAATTGTACTATCAAATAATCGACGTTAAGACAGATCTGAGCATCGCCAAAGAATGTGGGGTTGATGCCATGTGATTTGAAAAATTAATTATAATTTTGTTAGCGCTAATTTCATTTTATATCCTTAATTATGTTTAACTATGCACAAATTCAAGTAAACTGTAAAAGAGTAAATAATAATAATTTTTTTTAGTAAGCCAAAAACCAGGGAAAGGGTTATGCCAGTTAAAGGCTCTCTTGACGGTCAAGTCAATAAACAATATAAAACTCAAGCAGTAGGCAAGAAAATAAATATGCGATAGTTGCGTTTCCAGAGATGAGCCCTAGAATGATGTATTTATACGAGTCAAGGAGATGACCTTTTAGGATAGTATAATCCTTATTAAACTGGAAGAATCCAAAGGGTATTAGGGATAGAATTTGCATTCTCTTAGGAGTATGATTACTTGGCACGCCAATCCTTAGATTATAAGGACTCCAAAATATAGGAAACTCATTGATTCCTTGTTGGGTTAGGTTTTCGTATCTTGCAGAACAAGCATGGTCAATCTCAACGAAGTCACGCCCACTGATTTCAGAACAGATGATGGCAGTGTCATCGCAGCTCTGTTTATTCAGCAGCAGAGGCTGTTGAGTCCATGACCGAACTTCTGAGGTATTCATATTTTGATCCGCTTTGCTGCGACCATCGAAGTCATGGTCCCGAAAGCAATATATAAAGCGAAAACAAATTTGGGGTTGTATCATGGTGAATGCATCTTCAAAAATAATTTATTTATTGTTTAGCTTTAGCAAAAATAAATTACCCACTGTGTATAAGTTGTGAAGCTAATGATGTACCTATTGTTTAATTTTTACAAAAATTAATGTATGTACAAAAATAATTTATTTATTGTTCAAATTTTAGGATAAAAATTTTCCTATTCTTATTTAACAATAATGTGTCCACAATTTTATTTTTGTATGAATATAATTTGTAACAATCTGTCCATAATTTTTACAACTTTATGAATTTTAAACGAGTGATTTGACAAGAATGCTTCGAGAGGTGAGATTGTTGACTTTCGTTGACCATTATTTCATAGCATGTATGAACCATTCTCTTAGCATATTGTCGTAGTACTTGTCGCTACGAATGTGTGGGTGCAAACAAAATCGAAATCAGAGTTACAGTTAAAATTTTACGACACTACAAATGTGAGGAGCAATTTGATAATTTCACATTTACGTGAGCTATTTCTCTGTTTTGTCCCTTGTGGCTTTGGGCTGTGTGCCAGGTGGGGCCCATGCCTCATTCCTCCCTTGTCCCCGAGTTCTCTTCCTTCATACTTCTCAGACACACTCTCTCTCTCTTTAACATTTTTATCCTCAATCGCTCTTTGTATGTAGACACGAGCCATCACCATCGCTAACTCTAGCGAAACACCACCACCACCACCTTCCATTTTCTGGCTTCTAAACCCCATTAATCTCACTCTCTTTACCTTGTGCCCACTGCACAGAAATTGAGATGGTGACCTACT